CGGGGTGGACCAGGTTACAACAGCAGTTAAGAGGCGGTTCCAAACTCCTCAAAACTTCCCGATCAGAGGTATTGCTGCCGGATATAGTTTATCGTCATGCTCGGGACACATAATGAGGGAAGAGGGATTGGAAAATTTGACACTCACAGGATATATTGAGGACAAGAGTAACAGAGGAAAGCAGGAGTGGCACTAGCATGCAAGGGATTACAGGGAGTGAGAGCAAAAATAAAGAGGATTGTTTGAGAAAAGGATATAGAGAAGGACGGTGATCGGGATCAAGGCATCAGAAGATGTCGATTGACATTACATTTGAGTATTTGAAGATTATAGCTATCAGGGAAGCAAGTAAGAGGAAGGGAGTTCCCCTGTCAGGAAGTGCGAGAGAAGATTCTGCTGAAGTGGAAGAGGCGGTTACATTTAACTGTTTCAACAGTGAAAGGGTGGGAGCGAGATGCCAATCTAATAGCACGCTTAAATTCATGCAGTTGGAATACCAGTGAAAGTAGCTCGTCAGAGCAGTTGACATAAAAATAATTGTAGAAAAGGCAGAGGGTAGCCACATCACGTCTGTGAGAAAGTGACCGTAGACGAGATGCCAGATCTATAAAAGTCTATTTTTAGATTTCCATAGTGTTTTGATCCCAATTTGGGTGTTCACTATTTGCCCATGTGGACCTGGTTACAACAGCATTTAAGAGATGGTTCCACGCTTCTCAAAACTTCCATTATCAGCGGCCGTGCTGCCGGATATAGTTTATCGTCATGTTCAGGACACATAATGAGGGAAGAGGGATCGGAAAATTTGACACTCACAGGATATACTGAGGACAGGAGTAACAGAGGAAAGCAGCACATAACCTTCCTAGCGGGATTATGTGGACAGTTGACAGAGTAAAGATTGAGAAATATAGAAGAAAGAGAAAATTTACTAAGAGCTACAAGGTTCATGGAGAGTAATGTTCGCCGACATCTTGAAATGACACAGCGCATAGTAGTAGCAGTAGTAGAAGTGAATGTGCGGGTGGCGTAATGGTTATCATTGAAGAAAGAGAAATCTGTGAGCCGAGTTCGAATTCTGTCTGATTCCATCTTCATTTAGGTATGTTTTAAGCAGCAGGGCAGAGGGGTCTTTTCTCTTTTGAGGCATCCAGTTTAGAAGAATAAAGATCTCGTTATATGTTTGGAGGTTCACTATTTAAATGAATAAAACATTTAATGACTAGTTTCATAAAGCATTTAAATTAGAGAATGTGTGTTTGCGTATTGCTGAAGCTTGGATAAGCATGGAATAATAATAATACAACACAAAATGTACGTAAACAAAATGTATTGAAACAAGGAAAAGGTACACAATATTTACAGTTAGTTTTGGTATATTCTTGGGTTCCTGTAGAATGGGTTGACTTCATCGCAGTCGGGCAGAGTCTCTGGATTGGATCTCTTGTTACTTCCCTCACTCGTCTTCCCGGTACCAACCCATATTTATATGGTCGGTACACCACTATATAAATTAGGTGGATCGTACCACAACACGTATGTGAAATTTGTGTAGCTCTATATGAGGCACAAGTGTGAAAGAGTACAAAAAAATCACAAGAGAAAAGTAGAACAATAAACATTCCCCAGTGGGGGACACTTTTTTCCCCACACGTGACTACATCTTATAGCCAGAGTTGTAAAAGAAGAAAGAGAATGAGTTTGAATACCATTGCTTATTTATAAGCTTAAAGAGCTATCACACCAAGTCATGATGTATCTGGGAACAACAGCAATTAAGAGGTGTTTTCACGATCCTCAAAACTTCCAATACCCCAATTAGAGGATTTGCTGCCGGGTCTAGCTAAAATGTTTCCTTATAGGGAAACGCCTAGTATTATCATTACCATTGGCATTACCAAAATGCGGACATGCAAACTGAGAATATTATTTTTTGTATAGCCCCTAGCCCACTCCTCAATTCAGTTGTTTAGAAAACTAACCTCATTTTTTGTTCTACTTATATTTTAATATATATATATATATATATATATTTCAATTATAGGTGCAATTATAATTTACAAATTCATGAATCATTCATACGATAAAACAAATAGAGAGGTTAATGATTTAAATGGTGAGAATACATCTTCGCAAACAATATAGTTCATGCCACATTGACGGAAAACCTACCAGTAAAAAAGAATTCTTTCATTCCTATCTTTGTACAAAAATGCACAACCTTAAAATTTAAAATTCAAACTCAGCGTTGCGACCGCACGTTCCAAAACAATAACACATTTCTCATAGCATTTTTTCGGATTACATCTCTTTTTTCGTTGTCCTCTTATTACCGAGAAGTAAAAGACAAGAACAAATCTATTTTCATATCTGAGGATGTCTGTAGGAACAGACGAAAGCTTGTAAAAAATTAAAAAGACCTTATGCAACTGGAATTGATAAACAGGGATCATATCATTCATATACAGCTTCGGGGTTGGTGTATCTTTTTGATATTGTTTGCGAAGATGTATTCTCGTCATTTAAATCATTAACCTCTATATTTGTTTTATTATATGAATGATTCATGAATATATATATATATATATATATATATATATATATATTAAAATAATAATTTGTTCTACTTATATTTTTGCTACCACATTTCTTGTGAGTCTATTTTATTATAATAAATCTATTTTATTATAATATAATTCTGTCTCTTTTCCTGGCGACTACTAATTCCGTTTATATCAGCCTAACTACGTTTGTGCCCAGAAATTCTCCGTCCTGTTTTTTTTTTCTTTCTTCCGATTTGATTGATTTATTTGGAAATTCCTACACGCGTTATGAAAGCGTACAGACAATTTTACTCTTTAAAGATCCTGACACGATAACCTATATTCAGCATAAAAATAGGTAGTTGAAAGATTTTGAAGTCGGGAGTTAAAATTTCCGCTTGGGGGTTTCCTTTTGCTTATCTAATGGTTTCAGAATCGGAATTCTATTTTATGATTGGTGGATGAAAAGAAATTAAAAACAAAGGAAAAAAACAAACAATTCAAATAAAAACGCTTCGTTCAGTAATAGGAAACGAATTATTTTATTCCAAACGATGTCGATCCAAATTTAATCTATTGCCACATTTAATATCCAGGGATATATATATATATATATATATATATATATATATATATATATATATATATATATATAAGTTGTCATAGTTCTCCACCCTCTATAAAACCTCTGTTTGAACAAAATTTCCAGCAAGACATCGATATTTCTTATGTTCCTTTTGTCATTATGCTAAATCAACTTGAATTTCCTACTCTAGACGTAGCTACATGGAACTGAACATGACAGAAATATTTGAATAATTTTCTCATGTTGTTGTTGTTATTATTATTATTATTATTATTAATAATAATAATATTAAACATACTCTCTTTTCACATACTTAAATTATTCGGTACAGTTTAAGAAATTCTAATTAGACAGATTATTTTGTTGTTTAGATAATTCTGTTTGATTGATTTGTAGTAATGTGCATTGTCAGACGGCAACAATGATTACTACGAACGCTACAGGAAATAAGATCGTAACTAACGTTGCCTCGTCTAAAATCATGGAGAATTTAATATTTAAAAGATTATGTCCGCTTCTAAAAAACAAAACAAAAAACACCTCATCTTTAGAAAACAACATAATATTTATTTTATTCATATATAATTTAAACGCCCACTCAGACAGATTTGTGTTTGTTCAACACCCACAGAGCCCAACTGTGGTTTATACTGCAACTATGCTCTTCAGACCTTAGTTACAGTTTCTGGGAGAGAGCGTGTTATCTAGGGGGATCAACAATCTGAACAAGGCCAGCACACTTAAACCCTCGGTCACGATGACTTGTGACTTCGTGCTAGCACAGCTATCGACGGTCCGCCAAGTGTTCCGTCTACCTAATTTTTCTCACAAGGCTTGGGCCAACCCGTGGTATGGTTTTCAGGCACTTTGTCATACGCTGTGATCGTCCCCCTCCAGACTAATAACATAGTAATAGTACGTGCAAGATAGTAAACATGCGAGAGGCTTCTTTTAAGGCCCAAGGCAGATATGAAGGGTATGCATATGGAGGGGGGGGTGATAGCTGCTGATAAACTTCTTGTTTTACAAGCTGTGTACGTATTGATCTGTATATTTAACCATTTACTGTAATAACGACAGTAGCAGCGTACACAGTGAATTAAAGGAAGACATTTTGTTATTCTCCATGACAAACCAAGACCAGAGGCTTACCGAAGTTAAGCAAAGTAGATCCTGGTCAGTACCTAGATGGGCGACCATTTAGGAATACTTGGATGTGTGGGTGGTGTCATGTTAGTCTGAGAGCCGAGTTCGAATTCCCATTGGGTTCGTTATATTCACTTTCGCGCAAAAGGTATGAATCCACATTTTCCGCCAAGCTACGGGTTAATTAGTTTATTATATTCGTTTATGTGTAAATACCTTTGGAGAAGGTATGAATTCACCTCTTCTCCTCCCAACTATGGGTTAAATAGTGAAACTTGTAACACTCAACCATTATTATCTATAAAAAATATCTAAAAGTATTTTCTGGCTTTAAATAACGTGCAATGAGTTGATAAGCCGTAAAAAACGAATCAAGCAAACAATTAATAAAACTAAGGCCGGGATCGAGTTCCAAATGAGAAAAATAAACTGGAACTGGTTTGTTCTGTTCTTCCCCCCCACTCCCACTCCCACTCGACATATTCACCGCTTGCCTTGCATCAGCCAAATACCGCTTGGAGATACCAGATTCTGAAGGCTTGAATGTGTGGTTGGTGAAATGGATAATGAATTGGAAATCGGATAGCCGAGTTCCATTCCCAAGACAAGAATCCAGCTCTTCTGACCCCAGCAATGTGTTAATTAGTAGAACTTGTGTCAGTAAATCATTATTATTTAAAAAATTAAAAAATTAAAAAAAATATATTCTGAGTTTAAATATCACTTTGAAACACCGGTTCTCGTACGATCACTGAAGTTAAGCAACGTCGAGTCTGGTCAGAACCTAGATGGGTGACCGTTTGGAAACACCAGGTACTGTAAGCTTGGGTGTGCGGGTGGTGTAATGGATAACGTTTCGGAATTTGAATTCGGAAAGCCGAGTTCCAATTCCAGTCGGATTCGTTTTATTCATTTAGGAGCAAATATCCTTGGGAAAGAAGGCATGAATCCACTTCTTCTTCCCTCAACTATGGGATAATCAATAGGACTTGTATCAGTAAATTAAATTTATCTCGAAAAAATTCTTACCATCTAAAGACATTTTCGGGTTTTAAATAACGTGCGAAATGGTTGCTAACCCGTAAAAAACAAATTAATTCACATATTTAATTGTTATTTAAATTCTTATTAGTTCTGACTTTAAATGATCTACAAAAATCTTGGCAAGTAAAAAAAACACCGTCCTGGGTATGACGATAAACTACATCCGCGTCCTGGGTAAGACGATAAACTACGTCCGACAGCAAGACCTGTGATCAGGAGGTTTTGAGGAGCGTGGAATCACCTCTTAATTGCTGGTGTTCCTGGTCCACTCTGACTCCGGGTGGTAGCACCTGTTAGGGTCCCAGCTATGGGCAAATAATTAACCCCCAAACTGGAGTCAAAACACTATGAAAGCGTAAAAATAGATTTTAATACCAGAAATACTTTGTAAAAAAAATTATTGCCAGCAATACATTTTTGGAAAAAAGTATTACCAGCAATAAAAATCTTGTCGGTATTAAATAACCCATTGAGGTTGATATACCGTAAGACAAAACAAAGCAAATCGTAAAAAAAAACAAAAAAAACAACAAATCAATCCACATATTTAATTGTTATTTTAATTCTTATTAGTTCTGACTTTAAATGACCTACAAAAAGGTTGACAAGCCGTAAAAAACAAATCAATTCGCATATTCCTAAAATGTTATTGTTCACCCTTTCCGTTCCTTATTTTACATATCCGACCATTTAGCATTGGCACAGTTTCCTAAGACCTTATGCCTCGATTGTGATCCTTGTTTTACTCAAAATCTATATAACTCATTGCATATGATATATTAAAAGCGTAGTTTAGATGTGGCACAAGGCCGAAAATATGGAACAAGACTGTGAAAATTGAACTCATTACTTAGTCATAATTGATTTAGCTTGTTAACCATTACACCACGTCAAAGTGCCCAACTCTTTCCATCTAATGGTGAATATAATGGTGAATATATAATTGTACAGAATGGAATTGTACTGTATTTGAAGAATAAAGTTGACAAAGGAAAACGGAAATTATTTATGACTCAGCCTAACACATCTACTCTTTTCTTGTGTGTTTTTAGGAATTTCAAAGCGAAGTTTTTTTTTTGTTTTTTTTTTGTTTTTTTTCGGGGCCAATTAAGGTAAATATGGAGCGAAATATGTCTAACTACAAACACAGCCGCCTACACAAACTGTTTGTGACATTCAAATATATTTATCTTCTGGTCGTCTGAATATCATCTCTATTCCCACCTCCTCCAAATTCTCTAATTTTACTTATTTTGTTGTCTGAAATCTTTTCTAACCACAAATAAAGACTCGCCAATATTGATTCACTATTCGTGGTGAGTAGAAGAAGAATTCAGAATGTGTTTTTTTTTTTTATATTCATTTCGGGCTTTTCAAAGTCTGGTGCAAGACAATCTTTATAAAGAATGTCGTTAAGAATTGAAATTAAAACGTTATACTGCGTCACATGCCGGCGTACTCGAACCTTCTTTTTCTCCTTTTCTTTAATTTATTCTTTTTTCTTTCTTTCTTTTTCTTTTTTTTCCTTCTTTTTCTTCTTTATTTGTTTTATTCGTTTACTTTCTCTTTTTTTCGGCTTTTATTGTTTTTTCTTTAGTTTATTCTTCTTTACTTTTTCATTTTTTCTCTCTTTTTTTCCTTTTCTTTTTTCTTTCTTTTACTCGTTTTCTTTCTTTTGATTTTCTCTTTTTTGTCCCATTTTTTCTTCTTCATTGTCTTTTATCTTTCTTTTCTTTTTCTCTTTTTCGTTCTTTTCCACCTTTTACTTTCTTTCACTTTCTCTTTTTCGTTCCTTTTCATATTTTTGGTTTTATTTCTTTCCAACTTTTTCTTTCTTTTCTTTCGCCTTTTTGTCCCTTTTTCTTTCTTTTTTCTTTTTCTTTTTTTCTTTCTCCTTTTCGTTACATTTTTTTTCATTCTTTTCTTATTTTTCTTTCTTTTCTTTTTTCTTCTTATTCTCATTAATTTTCTTTTTTCCTTTTCCTCTTTTTCTTTTTTCTTTCTTTTACTCATTTTCTTTTTTTACTTTTTTATTTTTCATCGCTTTTTCTTTCTTTTCTTCTTTGTCATTTTTTTTTCTCCCCCACCTTTTTCGTTGTTTTCGTTTTCGTCTTTTTTTTTCATCGCCTTTTCTCTTTTGTTTCTTTTATTCTTTTCTGTTCTTTTTTTCTTTCTTTCTATTTTTCGTCCCATTTTTTCTTTTTCTTTCTTTTCCACTTTTTCTTTTTCTAATTGTTTCTTTCGTTTTTCTTTATTTTTCTCCTTATTTTTTCTATCTTTTTTTCTTTCTTTTCCTCTTTTCCTTTTCTACTCCTTTTTTTTCGTTCTGTTTCTTTTTCGTCCCTTTTCTTTTTCTCTTTTTCTTTTTATCTCTTTCTTATTTTTTTACAGCATTGTCGCTAATGACAGCAGTTCATGTCAAGCGAATGTAGTCGTCATACTTGTACGTGGGAATTTTCAGAATCCTTCTCAAATCAAATCTGGGCAGCTTGACTTTCTGCAGTAATCCATCGTTATTAGAGTCTATGTTTATAAATAGGCACATGTCTATTAGAATACAACCCTCACTTCCCATCTGTGAAACTCCCTTCCATTTCCTTGCTTTCCTGATAACTACAATCTTCAAAAATTTTAAATGCAACATCAATCGCCATCTTCTGACTTTTGTCCTCTCTTCAATCCTTCCTAGTCTTTTTTTTTCACTTTCACTGCCTGTAACCCCCTGCGTACTAGTAGCATTGCTGTCTTGTGAGAGGTGAAATGATTTAAAAAGAAATTGTCACGAAAGAGGGCAACATAGCGGTTACTGGTCAATGCGCTGTTAAGGCGAAACAGTGAACCCTACTCATGCTACTTCTTTATAGAGCCAACATTATATTGAACAGTGCATTATTGACAACTGGCCCTATGTATGTGCATCACACTCGAACCCTGTTCACAGCTCGAGTTAACTGAAGAGGCGAATCGTTGCTAGTTCCCTACGGTTGAAATAACGATGTCACGGTCGTAGTATGATGCCGAGTCCGGTGTTGTCTTGTTAATATGGGAAGTCCTTAGTGGACTTTCTGGTTCCATATCCCATTGAAGCTAAAGAACTCTGAACTGACCGACTAGATATCAATCACCTCCTGCACTGAATGTGGTACGATTTTAATCACCATCACCTGTCTGACCAAACGTCTAACCAAACTAGATATCAGTCACCTCCTGCACTGAATATGGTACGATTTTAGTCACCATCACCTGTCTGACCAAACGCCTAACCAAACGTCTAACCAAACTAGATATCAGTCACCTCCTGCACTGAATATGGTAAGATTTTAGTCACCATCACCTGTCTTACCAAACGCCTAACCAAACTAGATATCAGTCACCTCCTGCACTGAATATGGTACGATTTTAGTCACCATCACCTGACCAAACGTCTAACCAAACGCCTAACCAAACTAGATATCAGTCACCTCCTGCACTGAATATGGTACGATTTTAGTCACCATCACCTGTCTTACCAAACGCCTAACCAAACTAGATATCAGTCACCTCCTGCACTGAATATGGTACGATTTTAGTCACCATCGCCTGTCTTACCAAACGCCTAATAAAACTAGATATCAGTCACCTCCTGCACTGAATATGGTAAGATTTTAGTCACCATCGCCTGTCTGAGCAAACGCCTAACCAAACGTCTAACCAAACTAGATATCCGTCACCGCCTGCACTGAATATGGTAAGATTTTAGTCACCATCACCTGTCTGACCAAACGCCTAACCAAACGCCTAACCATACTAGATATCAGTCACCTCCTGCACTGAATATGGTACGATTTTAATCACCATCACCTGTCTGACCAAACGCCTCTGGTCACGATCAATGATCACCAGTGATCGACCACCGCACTGTTCACAGTGGACGGTCAGGTATTTCCTGTAGACATACGACACAACCAATGCTTCCCCGATCACTTAATCTCTTCAAGACGAGAGTCAACCATTATCTATCCTAGATGTCCTCACAATCTGTACCTATTCCTTGCCTTATGCCGGGATGTGCGGGTGGTGTAATGGATAGTGGTTTCGAATGAGCCGAATTCTAATTCCAGTCGAGTTTTTTACATTCATCATCATCATTATCATCGCCTTGACTTTTGTAATCGTAGTGAGGATCAGCTACACTGAATATCCCTCACATCTGTCTATCAACGACAGCCATCAGCAATTCTGGTATAGTCATACTTCTCTATTGTCTGACATTGCCCAACCATTTTTTTGCGTTGGCGTCCTCCCCTACATCCACCTTCAACGGTGCCTTACATGATGGTTTTGCACAAGCTGTCGTGCCTTGTAACGTGTTCAAACCACGCCATTTTTCTCCGTTTGACAGTGGCGGGAAGAGGTTCATGATGGCCACAAAACTTTCAAACCTTTTCCTCACAAACTCCTTGGTTTTTATTTTCCCAACAGAAGATAACAAAGAGTTTACTCATTACATTCAATTACGCACAAACAACCTTAGGAAAGGTATAAATCCAACTCTTCCCCCAGCTACAGGTTAAATATCAGCACTTGTATCTGAAAAATGATTATGAAAAACACACTTGCAGTAAAAAAAACAAAAAAAAAACCCAAAAACGAATTGTTCTTACAATTTAAAAAATATGCTTTGGCTTTAAACAACCAACAAAGTGTTGATAAGCCGTAAAAAACAAATCAGTCAGTAAATCTCTTATGTTTACACAACAACCACTTTTAATTAATCATTGTATTGGGTAAGCGTTTACTCAAAAAATATCCTTAGTTTCAGAAATGCAATTTCAATCGTGTAGCATGCTTTGTTAGAATTTCGATAATTCATATTGCTTTGACATGAACAGTCATAAGGACACGAGAGATATAGGCATGTGTATAGAGCGGCGCCACCGACCATTATCTTTACATACTGTTCCATGACTTTTGGCACGTTAGGGTATAGTGATAGAGAAAATACTAAAGACTGAATAGTAAGGGGATATATGTCAATATTCCCGTAATATATTTACTTTTATTCCTTCTCGTGATTGTATCCAAGGGTGCTGAAAATTTCTCGGCTCAGCTCATTTCCAAAATCAATATTTTAATGAGTAACAGTAGTTTAGTGATTTTTTGGTTAAGTGGCATGAACTGAGAACATTTTAGTATCGTTTCGTATACACACACACACACATAAACACACACACACACGCACACACATGTTTGAATCGTTTCACCCCAAGCAAGGCAATAAAACCACGAAGATGCAAATAGTAGAATTAGCGAGTGTGAGCGAATATGAGAAAAAGAAAAACACTATATGAGGAGAGAGAACAATAAAATAACAGAAATTAAAGACAGAAGATGACGATTGACATTGCATTTAAACTTATGAAGATCAAAATTATGATGATAACGCAAGTGTAATTATGTTATTATTTAAACTATTTACATTGTTCGGGCAGTTGTCCTCATTTTTATTGCCGTATTCATGACGTTTCGGCCTTTGTACGCTTCGGTCTTCTTCAGGTGATTGTAATTCCGAACTTAACCAATTATTTCGTCCACCGGGTTAGATTGTTCCAGTTCCATGCGCCATGCCTTTTCCGGGTGATTCAATTATCTCTCCCTTTAACTCTTAAGTTTTTGTTCACCACCGCAGTAGCTAGGTATTGAACTCACACCTCTTTTGGTGAAGTCACTGGATCCATTTAACGCTTTTATCCACTGGGCCATGTGTCCTTGTTGACAAGAACAATCTATATTGGTGAACGAAATAAAGGGTTCAGTTTTAAAAGAGAGTAGTTTCGTTTTGGAGGCGTTAAAATTAACAAGCCATTTCTTGCCCCAGTTAACAACAGATTGTAGGTCATTTTTGACCTTATCGAACCAATCATCGATATTATCCACCCTCTCTCTTTCTCTCTCTCTTCCCCCCCTCTCTCTCTCTATATATATATATATATATACATATTCATTGGATGATTAACATTAACGAAAATAACATGAGTAAGTAGAATGTGATTCCTGTGTGTGTTTGCGTGTGTGCGCATGTCTACATTGCAGTAGGGGGTGGGAAACAAGATCGTTACTTACCACTTCAAGCCGAGCGAGTCGCCATATTTCTTGCCAGATCGAAACCGTTACTGCGTTTGTTTCCTTTTTTATTGGAGAACATAGATTGCTGGTGAATCGGAAGTTGTCTGTGGGTGGACTATAAATTGCCAAGAGGAGTCGCAGTGTGTAATTAAAAATGGAGAAAATTGTAGCTGACGGGTGGCACGCAAGTCGATAGCCGATCAATATCATAACGTATGCCAAAGCATCAAACAGATGTATTTCACGAATATATATATATATATATATATATATATATATATATATATATATATATATATATATATATATATATAGTCATCCACAGACAGACGGTTTCGCTCTGTCGCGGCACATCAATGTGGCTAGACATGCTATTGCTTCAAGCCGGGATCAAAACCCGACCGATTTGATATCAGTCGGAGACTCTCTTCCTCGTGCACCGAGAAAGGGATTTTTAACGCATTATATACGAGGCATAAGCATTCTCGGCTATCAGAGCTTTTATCGTTAATTAGCAGCAGCTGACAAATTCTTTTTTTTCCATGGTGCTCAACCTACCAAGGGTATATACATACATACATATATATATATATATATATGGAGAGAGAGAGAGAGAGAGAGAGAGAGAGAGTAAGAGAGAGAGAGAGAGAGAGAGGGAAAAATAAATAGGCAACAGCATTATTTTCTTAATTCAAGTTTGCCTGGTATACTGCTCATCAGTATCAGATACATCTACAGTGTAACCCGGATATAAGAGACCCGCATATAAGAGAAACCCGGATATAAGAGAGATTTTCTCTGGTCCCAAATTAGAGCCTGTGTTAATGCATATAAATTAGACCCAACCCGGATATAAGAGAAACCCGGATATAAGAGACTTCTTCTCCGGTCCCGACAACTCTCTTACATCCGGGTTACACTGTACTTTAACTTTGTTAATTTCCAGTAATTTACTAGAAATTACTATTACTGGACTATCTTTTGTTAGGCGTTAACGACTTGCATTATTATTATTATTATTATTATTATTATTATTATTTTCCTTTGTTTTGTGTTTTGAATCTATTCATTGTCTTCGTATCTCTGTCAGAGACTTCCATAGACAACCAGTTGTTTATATCCGAAGATGCAAACAGATGAGGCGAAATGCAATCAGTAGAAAATGTAATTAGTATCATTGGATAGAGAGAAATTGACGCAGTTGTTTGGTCGTTTATTATTATTATTATTAAACAAAATGATTAACATAACTTGAATATAACAGTTACAGATATAGACCTATCTTATGTGTGGGTGTGGATATGAAAGTTGAACTGTCTTACTTTATTTTGAACGCTTCAGTCGAAGGCTTAAAAATAAAATAAAATAAATGTTTTATTTTTGAATATTTGACTCAAGAATGGAGTAAAATTTAGTTATTTCTAAATAAATGAACGAACATAAAGATTTAAATGAATCAAGAATAGAAAAACTTCTTTAAATACACTTCCGCTATCATATTCTTTTATCTGCGAATTTTTACTTTTGCCGCTTCTGTGGTCGATACGTTTTACATTTGATTGGGAGAAAAAATGAATTAAACCTTAAAGCTTTTTGGTCTGCAACGAAGAGACGAACTTTTCCATTTATTTGATTTGTTGCCTGTTGTAAGCTCGAGGCGGCTTCAATTATTTTAAAAATCTCAAATAATTATCTAAGTCTATCAACGGAAAGACGAACGTTTTGCTTTACGTAAAATCTTAAAAATGTCTTGGCTATAATTTAAAGTACACCAAACAAAATTAAAAAAAAAATCCTCTCTGCGAAGTTTCAATTTTGCAGGTGAAAAGTGGGATTGAAAGAAAGAAAGAAAGAAATAAAGAAAGAACAAAATATTTATCACCACCATGATCAATCCCTGCCAGGTCGCTATTGGACAAAGGTCATTCCCAATTCCTTCGGCGTCCTGAGTACGACGATAAGCTACATCCGGGGGCAAAGACCCTGATCAGGAGGTTATGAAGAGCGTCGGAACACCTCTAAATTGCTGTAGTTACTAAACTATCTGCCGCCAAAGAAAAAAATTAAAAATAAAAATAAATGAAAAGAACTCTGAATAATAAATCTCATTGTTTTTCCTATTATTTTTTATATATATATATATATATATATATATATATATATATATATATATATATATATATATATATATATATATATATATATGTATAGAGTGACCCAAAAAACGGGAACTTTTTAACAATCTGATAAAACCAAGTGTGATAGAAGAAAAATATTTTATTCATATTAATTGAAACCTTAAAAGATGCCATTTAAGAAGCAATGATGGAATTTTCATTTTTTAAAAATGACGTCCTGTAGATGGCGTCCTCCTGTACGAATGCATTCTTGAAATCTGCTGTTGAGATTCCTCATTGACTGCTGCAACATCTGGGATACTGTGAATTTCATCTTGAATTCTAAATGGCGAAATGTTTACTTGCTCAAGGTCACTGTCTCGCAGTGTTGCCACTTGCTCATGTCTGGCAATACGCACATCAAAAACTCCCATTTTTTTTGGGGGTCATATATATATATATATATATATATATATATATATATATATATATATATATATTGAGTTCTACCTGGATTCTTTCTTTTTGAATTTTTTTTAAAAAAATATACATGTATGAGTATTTATATATTTTGCATATGTATGTATATTTTCCACTAATATTATTCTCTCTCTCTCTCTCTCTCTCTCTCTCTCTCTATATATATATATATATATATATATATATATATATTCTAAATGTCCTTTTCCAAGATTGGTTTCCCTACAGAGGCAAAAGAGCCCGGTTTACCCTATTATTTATGAAGGTTTGAATTTAGAACATTTCTTCTCCTAAACTCTGCCCTGCTGTTTAACACATACCTAAATGAAGATGGAGTCAGACAGAATTCGAACTCGGCTCACCGATTTCCCTTTCTTCAACGATAACCATTACGCCACCCGCACATTCACTTCTTCTTCTTCTTCTTCTTCTTCTTCTTCTTCTACTACTACTACTACTACTACTACTACTACTACTACTATGCGCTCTGTCATTTCAAGATGTCGGCGAACATTACTCTCTATGTACCTTGTAGCTCTTAATAAGTTTTCTCTTTCTTCTATATCTCTCAATCTTTACTCTGCCAACCGCCCACATAAGCCCGCAAGGAAGGTTATGTGCTGCTTTCCTCTGTTACTCTTATCCTCAATATATCCTGTGAGTGTCAAATTTTCCAATCCCTCTTCCCTCATTATGTGTCCTGAGCATGACGATAAATTATATCCGGCAACAAGGCCTCTGATAATGGAAGTTTTGAGAAGCGTGGAACCACCTCTTCAAATGCTATTGTAACCAGGTCCACATGGGCAAATAGTGGACACCCAAATTGGGGTCAAAACACTATGGAAATCTAAAAATAAACTTTTATAGATCTTGATCTGGCATCTCGTCTACGGTCACTTTATCACAGACGTGATATGGCTACCCTCTGCCTTTTCTACAATTATTTTCATGTCAACTGCTTTGACGAGCTACTTTCACTGGTACTCCAACTGCATGAATTTAAGCGTGCTATTAGTTTGGTATCTCGCTCCCACCCTTTCACTGTTGAAACAGTTAAATGTAACCACCTCTTCCACTTCAGCAGAATCTTCTCTCGCACTTCCTAACAGGGGAACTCCCTTCCTCTTACTAGTTTCCCTGATAGCTATAATCTTCAAATACTCAAATGTAATGTCAATCGACATCTTCTGATGCCTTGATCCCGATCACCGTCCTTCTCTATATCCTTTTCTCAAACAATCCTCTTTACTCTTGCTCTCACTCTCTGTAATCCCTTGCATGCTAGTGCCACTCCTGCCTTGCTTGGGGTGAAATGCTTTAAAAAAATACCAGCAATACATTTTTGAAAAGTAATTATTAATGCACCCAAGAAAATTAAATTTAAGCATTGAATGACCTACAGGGAGTTAATATGCCGCTAAACAAACAAAAGCAATTCCTTCCATGACAGCTGACTTGGCCATATTTTTTTTTTGGGGTGGGGAGTTCCTTCTGTCTTTTCCGCAAATATTTTCATGATAATTGTACTGATGAACTATTTTCCTTAGTGCTTGGACTGCATGGATTTAAGCCTGCTACTAGATTGGCAATTAGGTCTCACCATTTTACGGTTGACCTAGGTAGATGCCACTTTTATTCTAATAGTTTCTTTTCTCACACTTCTTACCTGTGGAACTCCCTTCTGATTTCTAGCTTTCCCGCCATTTACAATCTTTAAAATGTTAATTGTCATTGTTTCCCTGAACCCTATTCTTTTATTGTCCTTCCTCCTCACTTAAGCCTTCTTGTTCTCTTTCAATCCCACTAACACCTTGCATCCTAGTGGCATTATTGTCTTGCTTGGGGTGAAATGATTTAAAAAAAAAAAAGAAGGTATATATTTTGTGAGAGATACATTGATAGATGTTAAAAATGACTAATCTAGAGAAATTAAAATGTAGCTAGTAATCAGTAAAAATTTGTTGAATTCATGCAAGTTTGTTTGTGCACTTTTACAAATGTTTATCAGAAAGAATTAAAAAAATTAATTAAGGCAAATATAGATTAAAATAGCATCTTAGCAAACGTGAATGTAAACACTGAACCCAATAAATGAATTAAATGAATTCTACTATTAAATGAAACCTTGAACCACTATTATAACACTGGTAATTGGTAATACTGGTATATTACATTTATTATTATTATTATTATTATTATTATTATTATTATTATTATTTATTAAAAAATAAAAATTATGATAAATGTATTATAATCAAAATGATGAAAATAAAAAAGATTTTTAGTATTAAATGAATCCAAGAACCACTATTATAATACTGGTAATATTGGTATATTACTTATTGTATACCTACATTTGCATCACATACACATCTATCTATCTATCTATCTATCTATCTATCTATCTATCTATCTATCAAGTCAATCTGTTCATATCTATCTATCTATCTATCTATCTATCTATCTGAAGTCAATCTGTTCATATCTATCTATCTATCTATCTATCTATCTATCTATCTATCTATCTATCTAAAGTCTGTTTCATGCATCTACGCAATCGTCATGACGATGGGTGTTGATTTCAATGTTCACCGTTATATTTATTCATTTAATGAATGAAATGAACTCTAGTACTAAGTGAGACCTAGAACCACTATTACAATACTGATAATACTGGTATATTACTTACTATATACTTACTCTTGCTTCTTGTTCTGGCAATTCTTCTGATGAGCTTTTCTCCTTGGTCCCTCGACTGTATGCATTTAAGGTTGCTACTGGATTGGCAACTAGGTCTCACCGTTTCACTGTTGAACTTGCTAGATGCAATGGTCAGTTCTATTCGAATAGCTTCTTTTCTCGCACTTCTCGACTGTGGAATTCCATTCCGATTTCATGCTTCCCTGATAATTGCAATCTTCAAAAATTTAAATGCAACGTCGATCGACATCTTCTGTCTTCTTCAATTATTTTATATATAATGAACGAGAAGACTTTAGCGAGGAGAAGTGAGGAAAAGGTCAATAAATATATTTATTGACTTTTTTTTTTACCTCTCTTCTTGTTCATTTCCTGTAATCGCCCCCTACATCTTAGTGGCATTGTCACCTTGCTTTGGCTGAAAGTATTATTATTTCGCACACACGCACAAACACACACACATATAGGGTGTTGCAAAAGTAGGTATACAGTGATGAAAAACAAAACGTGCTCACAAAACGTATTGTGTTGATCATCCAAACATATCAATTCTGACATGAAAACTTCTTGTACATGTAGTCATGGATAATATTGTACATTAATTAATATTTCTTTTAATTAATTACTATTTGTGCTCAATTGTTGACATTAATTGTTATCTGCTGATGTGTTAAATTTTTGGAATAATGCAAAAATAAAAATTTAAATTTTATCTCTCTGATAGACGTTGCAATCTGTAAATTTAGATTTTTTAAACACAAGTCCTGTTCGTTACGAACATGCTTGACTTAAAAAAATAATTAACAGATCGCGACAGTTATTAGCAAGATGTTTTAGCATCACTTTTTTTTTTATCAATATCAATTTTCGTACAAAAAGTGGATCACAGAGCTTATTCAGCTTAGTAAATTTTTTCAGAAAATCCCAACTTCTGATTGGTCACTTAATATTTAATAACATCGACCTAGTTCTTGACCTGACCAAAAAGAAAATTCCGCCAAAATCTATCAAGCTTCTGTGATTCTATCACGTGACCAAAGTTAGCACTAAAATATGAAACGTCTTTCATCTTCGACAGTGCGTCGATCGGAATCCTTTGAACTCAGTTCCAGGCTTTACGTTAAAGTTCCTTAACATGATTCCAGCCTGAGAGAACAATCATTCACACAACAATATTTTATGACGAACAATCAACTCAAGTTTTCCATATTCAACTTAATACACGAATCTTTTTCATACGCTTTCAAGATCAACGTTAATTATTGCAATTAACATAAACACTGCTTGTTAAGAACCATTTACCCCAACTAGAATATTCTCTTCGAACAAGTAAAAACAAATCAAAGAGCGATAAATCCGTAAACCTTAAAGTAAGTCGTAAACAATATTTCTCTATTTCAAATATAAACTTGAACTGTTTATTTTTTTCTTAAATTACTATAATACCCAAACACACTTTCTCATTATTGTACAGACCATTCAACAAATTATAATCTATCAAACCAGAACTTTGATAACCTTTCATCTAAACATAAAAGGACGTTTGAACTTTTTAAATCTACCTTTTTACTCCAGTTGTTTGTACCTCTTTGTTATATAAATATTTTATTCGTTGTTGTGCAAAAACTGTTGTTTCTCATGTCTTATTCTATGTTTGTTGAATACTGAATTTTAATGTGAGAAGAAATTGTTAATTTCATCACGCAGCCTAATTTACTCTACAATTTTTTATTCATATAATATTCATATTATTAACACAGCCTCCACAAAGTGATTAAATATATTTTAATTTTTTAATAAAATATTCTGTATTCTTATTGTTTAGGTAATAAGCATTATAACATAGCACAAATAGCTATATTGTGGGCAAATGGGAATTTTTGAAAATATACGCATTTTTTACGTATTTATGGTTATTTTTTAACTTTTATCAAAAACGACATTCTTGTACATGTAGTTATGGATAATATTATATATTAATTACTATTTTTTTTAATTAATAACTATTTGTACTCAGTTGTTGACATTAATAATTATCTGCTGATGTGTTAAAATTTTGGAATAATGCAATAATAAAATATTCAATTTCATCTCTCTGATAGATGTTGCGATCTGTAAAAATGATTTTAATGAATTAAATGAATTCTAGTATTATATTAAGCTAATCCCCATCTCCTGTCCTCCTAAATCCTGTTTCTTTATTGTCCTTTATCCACACTAATCTCTTTACATTCTATTTCACTCTCTGTAAGCCCTTTCATCTTAGTGGCATTATCACCTTGCTTGGGGTGAAATGATAGCAGCTTATTTCCATGGTCTCTCTGTATGAAATTGTGAAGGAGTCGAGTTTTACATTATGTATTTCCCAACTTATTCTTTTGAAAAATTGCTGAATATGTTTTTTTTTTTGAGTACCATGATTTCAAACGTTTTGTAGGGAGACGGCACATAGGAGAAGAATATAATCCTGAATTTTATTATTAGATGAACTATTTCCAATGCCTTGTCAATCATTAATGATTTTGATTCTCACCAGATGCTTCACAGCCAGACAGAGTAAAGAGGGTTACTGAATGATAAAAGAAAGTGACATAAAGAAAAAAAATGAAGACATTTAGGAAATATAAAAAGATTTAGGAAAGATAAAAAGAGAAAATTTATTAAGAGCTCCAAAGAATAGGAAATTGTAGAGAGCCATGATCATCAATGACTTGAAATGACACAACATATAGAAGAATTAATGACCAATCAGACTCACCTGACAAATCATTACACAATGTTGAAGTATCAACTTTAATATTATGAATCATGTATATAGTAAATAAAAGCCATACTCAAGTTTCTATTTTGTTTTAATATAAAATCTGTGATTGTCTTTATGTTTTCTATTTTTTTTAAACTCAAATGCATTCTTGATTCCAGAGCTTTTACTGTTATTCTTCTTGTTTTGCAGTTTCATGTGTGTTCGTAGTTCATTCAAAAAAATATTGATCCTGTATCGTGGTATATGATTGTAGTTTATTTCCATGGTCTCCCCCTGTATGACATTGTGAGGGAGGCAGTTTTTAGATTATGTATTCTCCAACTTATTCTTTTGAAAAATTGCTGAGTATGTTTTTTTAATTATTGGTTTCTATGCTTGGTCAAAAAATAAGAGATTTTGGTAATATCAGATGTGATATCATAATATGTAATATGCGATAAATATTTTGCTTTTCCACAATTACCAGTGAACTGCTTAACTAGTCATAATAAACGCATTCAGAGAATATAATATATATATATATATATATATATATATATATATATATGAAAGTGAACATTAAAGTCAACACTTAGAGGCGAGAGGCCTGACGATTGCGTCTAGCATGAAACAGCCTGTCGCCTCTAAGTGTTGACTTCAATGTTCACTTTTATATTTACACACGTTCTATCTCTGATATTGAACACTTTATCCCATAAACGTAGCATACCTAAAGAGTATGTTTCTTCATATATATATATATATATATATATATATATATGTGTGTGTGTGTGTGTGTGTGTGTATAATGACATTCGCAGACGGTACTGTTTTGCAGCTCCTCAGTGCGACTAGACATCCGAATGCCTTAGCCCGGACCGAAACCCAATCAATTTGGTGTCAGTCAGAGTTTCTACGACTGAGCTATCTTCATTCGACAGAGAGAAACAGCTAAATCTAGCGTATTGTTTTTACTAATGTAAACAAATGCCAATCAGCCGGAGTGCTCCAATTCATTTTAATGAAGAGCTTTGCATTAACGCAAGTGACTGTTGTTTATAAAATTAGCCTATCACCAACAGTGCTCAGTTGAATATATATATATATATATATATATATATATATATATATATATATATATATATATATATAATTTATTCGAAAATTATAACATAAATATGTTATAAAACCACTACAAAAATAGCTATTTTGTTTTTCAACACTTCTGGTGTCTTATCAAGTGATGGTGTTATTTGCTCTACTCTGTATTGAGCACTCTATTAAGAATAGTATTTTTTGGTTATTGGAATTTATTCCGTATACACCAATCCTATAATTGGACACACACACACACACACACACACACACATATATATATATATACACCTGACGTGGCAATTGTTCTGAGGAGATTTTCTCCTTGCTGCTTCGTTTGCATGAATTTAAGCGTGCTACTTGATTGGCAAGTATGTCTCACCGTTTTTCTATTCTAATAGTTTCTTTTCCCGCACCTCTCGCCTGTAGAACTCCCTTCGGGATTTCTTGCTTCCCTGTCAAGTACAGTCCTAAAATATTTAAATGCAACGCCAGCCGCCATCTTCTCCCCGTAACCCCTTGCATCCTACTGGCATTATCGCCTTATTTGGGGTAAAATGATTAAAAATAAATTTTAAAAATTTACGAGCACACTCTGTCTGTCTTATCTCTTGATCTTCTGTATTAAACCACCTCCTGTGTCTGCCGTTCAACTGGTACTATTCAACCCAACTTTTAGCTCCATAAATTTATTCTTTTCTTTCTAAGGGTCCGGCCCAATTCCAGTTTTGTCGCTTAACCACCATTACGATATCCCTTCACATAATCCATTCTCTGATCCACATCAACCCCTTTCTATCCGCTGTAGTTTTTTTTTTCTAATGTTACTCTTTCTATTGATTGTGTATTTCTGGGTTTATTTTTAAGCGATTTTGTTTATGTCCATGTTTCCATCCGTACATCAAAGATATTAAATATACATTTTATATTTCAAGCGTAAAAGTGCTTCTGTGAACTTGTGCGGGACAGCGGCTATCGATTCTCACACTAGTAAT